TGACTCAGCCTTCCATCCTTCCGAGGTGGATGAAATGAGGACCCAGACTGTGGGGGCAATATGCCGACTCTGTAAACCGCTTAGAAAGGGCTGAAAGCCATATGAAGCGGTATATAAATCTAACTGCTATTGCTATTGTTGACTTGCTTGGCAGTTCATGGATTGGGGTGTTGGAATTGAGTAAACAATACCCCAATCAAGGAATTGCCAAGCAAGCCAACAATAAACCTCTCAACCCAAATAAAACCTTTTGAGACCAACCCAGAGCAAGCCACTAGAATATAAACTGAGAGCAAAACCCCTCCCTTCTAGCACTGATGATGATTGTTAGTTGGGTCATGAAACGTCTACCAGAAAACCACCAAGCTTAGAGAGCACCCAGAAACCCTCATTCCAGTCCTTCACTGGTAGATGTATTCTTTCGTGATAGGGGATAAAACATTGCAATCAGCCCTCAATTTTATTTCCTAGGATGCTTTTGGGATACCGCTCAGTGCTTCAAGTCAACAGGCTTCTGTTATTAGCAACTGAAGTCAGCTAGAGGGAGAGAACCTTCCGTTCTTCCGTGGGGTGTAATGGAAACAGAAAATTCTTGCCCTGGTCTCAAACGAAGGTCTTCTTGGGGAAAACTGGCCTCTTCTTGACCTGCTCAGCAAAAAGAAAAAAAGAAAAGAGCATTTCATGAATGTCTTCATTGTAATGCCGGTGAATAATGATGCTGCTGAATCTCACAACAGCTTTGTTATGAGCATCAATCTCGCCCTTTTCAGGAGAAGTGGAGGAGAAAATAGTTAAGGAACATTTGCGAAGAGCAGGGAACATGAAAAAGGAGAGAGGCCAGCGCAAGCTAAAATAGGGTTTCCATCACAAAAAGCAGAATCAGGGTTTCCAGAGACACAATAACCCCTCCGCGCAGGAGATTTTAGATTGCTTTCGCTTTTGTGATCTGTTCTGCTCCTTCAAAGATAAATCTCTGTTCTACGTCTGTCCCGAGTTTAGCATTATTACTTAAAAAAAATCTGGCTCCAAACGTCAGGTCATTTTGCAAATTTGCTTTAAGATGATTTTGATGCAAGGTGAATGGGTGTGACCAAGGCTTGATCTGGTTGAATGTTCAAAGCTTACATCTTGTGGCGTTGGAAGAATGGAAACTGTGCACCAATAGTTATGACCAATGCATTGTATTCTAGGGATAGGAAAGGCTCCCGCCTATATCAGTAGGAAGGTCATCAGTCAGATCTTCCTCTGCATCGTCAACGCTGTTCCAGGTTTTCTTAAGCCAAAGGATAGACATTCTCTTGAATATGATGTCGGAATAACTCTGTTTCTAGCAAATTCCATGCCTCCAATAATTTTGGCCTCCGATGGTGTCTTCCTGGAGCAATTGGAGAAGAACATAGGGATGGGAAGTTGGGTCCGTGTTATAACTTCTTTCTGTTCCTCTCTCTTCTTGAATCCCTTCTTACCAGCTCTCTGCCCGAAGAGAAGAGCAAAAATGGCATCTCCTTTGAGACTTGTCCCAAGCCAAGCGAGAAGCAGGAGACGGAGCCGGCTGAGATCGACCCCGAATACAAGCGTAGTCGAGCCAGGGAACGCCGTAGAGAAGGCCGCTCCAAAACCTTTGACTGGGCGGAGTTCCGCCCCATCCAGCAGGTCCTGGCTCAGGAGCGAGCCAATTTGGCGGAGACTTTGAATGACACCTCCGCTCCGTATCCCAAGGAGCTCGGCCCTTCAGAAACAGATCCCGGGGAACTGGAGCGAGAACGTGCCCGCCGAAGAGAGGAAAGAAGGAAGCGCTTTGAACATCTGGATGCTATGGATGGAGGGAGCACAGAAGACTTCTCCAGGATGGAGGTGGATAGGCTTTCGGGCCTGCCTGCCGCTCCAGAGGCCAAGCCTCAAAGCGTCCATGTGGAGATCGAGCAGAGGTGGCATCAGGTGGAGACCACTCCTCTGCGGGAGGAGAAGCAGATCCCCATTGCCCCGCTACATCTTCCTCACCCAGAGGAGAACGGCGAGATACTCCATAAGCAGCATCTGACTGTGCTGCTGGAAAAGGAGGTAAGGAGGTGGGGAAGGAAGGAAGGAAGGAAAACTGGAGGGAGGGAAGGAAGAATGACCACTGGAAACTCTAGTGGCAAAGTCACTATTCATGGGCATTGTGAGGAGACCAAGAAGACTTGATGCTTCCCATTTCCCATCTTGGAACTTGTCCACTTTAGTTCAAGTGGGAAGCTCTTGGGTCAGGCAACTAAGAGCCGAGGTGGCGCAGTGGTTAGCGTGCAGGCCACTTCAGCTGACTGTTATCTGCAGTTCGGGGGTTCAAATCTCACCGGCTCAGGGTTGACTCAGCCTTCCATCCTTCCGAGGTGGGTAAAATGAGGACCCGGATTGTTGGGGGCGATATGCTGACT